AAAAGTGCTCCTTCGCTCTTGACGTCTATTCTGCCGTGTTCTTTCGTTCTTGGGGTCTATTATGAAATGCTCCTTGTTTTTTTGTGCCGTGCTCCTTCGCTCTTCTAGCCTATTCTGCCATGCTCCTGGCCAGTTTCTGTCACAATCCTTTGTTCTTGGGGCTTCTGATGCCGTGCTCCTGGTCGTTTTCTGCCGTGCTCCTTAGCTTTTGGGGCACATTCTGCCGTGCTCCTTCGCTTTCGGGGTTTATTCTGCCGTGCTCCATGTGTTTTTCTTGCATACTCCTTCTTCCTTGGGGCGTATTATGCTGTATTCTTGCATCTATCTTGCCGTGCTCCTTAGCTCTCGCGGTCTATTCTGCCGTGCTCCTGGTCACTGGTCGTGTTTTGCAATGCTCCTTCTTTCCTGGCGCCTATTCTGCCGTGCTCCTCAGCTCTTGGGGTCTATTCTGCCGTGCTCCTGTTTTTTTTTTTTCTGTCATGCTCCTTCGCTCTTGGGGCCTCTTTTGCCGTGCTCCTCAGCTCTTGGGGTCTATTCTGCCGTGTTTTTTTTTTTTTGTCTGCCGTGCTCCTTCGCTCATGGGGCCTATTCTGCCGTGCTCCTGGTCTTTTTCTGCCGTGCTCCTTAGCTCTGGGGTCTATTCTGCCGTGGTCCTGGTCTTCTTCTTCCGTGCCCCTGAGCTCTGGGGGTCTATTCTGCCGTGCTCCTGGTCATTTTCTGCCGTGCATCTTCGCACTTGGGGCATCTTCTGCCGTGCTCCTTGTCTCTTCGGGCCTATTCTGCCGTGCTCCTCGTCTTTTTCTGGTTTGCCCCTTCGCTCTTCGGGTCTATTCTGCCGTGCTCCTGGTCTTTTCTGTCGTACTCCTTGGCTCCTCGGGCCTTTTCTGTTGCGTTTCGGTCTTTTCTGCCGTCGTCCTTAGCTCTTGGGGCATCTTCTGCCGTCCTCCTGGTCTTTTTCTGGCGTCTTTTTCGCTCTTGGGGCCTATTATGCCGTGCTCTTAGCTCTTGGGGTCTATTCTGCAGTGCTCCTGGTCTTTTTCTGCCGTGCTCGGCAGCACTTGGACTCTATTCTGCCATGCTCCTGGTTTGTTTACGACGTGCTCCTTCGCTCATGGGGCATATTCTGTTGTGCTCTTCGTCTTTGTCTGCCGTGCTCCTGCTTTTTTTCTGCCGTGCTCCTTCGCACTTGGGGCATATTCTGCCGTGCTCCTTGTCTCTTGGGTTCTATTCTGCTGTGCTCCTCGTCTTTTTCTGGTTTGCTCCTTCGCTCTTGGGGTCTATTTTCCTGCACTCCTTCAGCTCTCGGGGTCTACTCTGGCGTGCTTCTGTTTTCTTTCTGCCGTGCTCCTTCGCTCTTGGGGCCTATTCTGCCGTGCTCCTGGTCATTCTCTGCCGTGCTCCTTAGCTTTTGGGGTCTATCCTGCCGTGCTCCTGGTCTTTCTCTGCCGTACTTCTTCGCACTTGAGGCATATCCAGCCCTGCTCCTTAGCTCCTGGGGTCTATTCTGCCGTGCTCCTGGTCTTTTTCTGCCGTGCTCCTTCGCTATTGGGGCCTAATCTGCCGTGCTCCTGGTCTTTTTCTGCCGTGCTCCTTAGCTCTTGAGGTCTATTCTGCCGTGCTCCTGGTCATGTTCTGCCGTGCTCCCTAGCTTGTTGGGTGTATTCTGCCGTACTCATTTGCTCTTGAGGTCTATTCTGCCGTGTTCTTTGTTTCGCTCTGCCGTGCTCCTTCGCTCTTGGGGCCTATTCTGCCGTGCTCCTCATCTTTTTCTGCCGTGTGCGCCCAGAAGCTCTGCCAAAACGACCACCGCGACGATCCGCACGGCAGATACAGGAACACGGCAGAACACACAGAGCACACAGAGGCACGGCAGAACACAGAAGCACGGCAGGACAGGAGCACGGCAGAACATACAGGAGCACAGCAAAACACACCCCGCACGCACGCCGACACGCGCGCCACGGCATACTTGCGCGGCATAACAACAACAGAGCATTTTCCACATGTTTGGTGGACTATATGGGGTTCGGCGCTGCACCGAACCTGACCGGACAAGAACGGGAAGCGCCGTTTTTTATCCACCACGTGCGTCAGAGACCGTATTGGCGAGAACGTCAGAGAAACCCATAAACGCAACAGAACAGACTAAATGGTGGCCTGCCGCGCTGGTCTGTCGAGGTAGTCTGCTGCCCTGGCCACATCATGGTGTCGACACCGTGCTTTTCTCTCGGCCACGCGGGCCCCCACCCGTTGTCGCCCAGCCTACTTTTTCTGTTCCAGCCTGTCTTGTCTTTTGTTTGTCCGTCGTCGTCGTCGCGTGCCTTTCCTTTGTCGTGGTCGTCGTTTTCATTATAATCGTCCGCTGTTGCCGTTCTCGCTGTCGCCGTCGTTATCATTTTATGATTGCGGTCGTTTTTCTGATTGTTTTTTTGTTGTTGGATTCCGTGTTCGGTTGGTTTTTGTGTTATGTTTGTGGTCGTTTTCTGTCATCGTTTTTTGTCGTAATTTTCGAGATCGTTATTGACGAAGACGACGACGACGACGATGACGACGACGACGATCTGCCGTGCTTCTGTGGCGTCTGCGGTGCTCCTGTGGTCTGCCGTGCTCCTTCTTGGTTTGCCGTGCTCCTGTGTGGTCTGCCGTGCTCCTGTGCGGTCTTCCGTGCTCCTGTGGTCTGCCGTGCTCCTTTGGGGTCTGCCGTGCTCCTGTGGAGTTTGCCGTGCGAACGTGTGGTCTGCCGTGCTCCTGTGTGGTCTGGCGTGCTCCTGTATGGTCTGCCGTGCTCTTGTGTGGTTTGCCGTGCTCCTGTGTGGTCTGCCGTGCTCCCGTGGGGTCTGCCGTGTCCTGTGTGGTCTGCCGTGCTCCTGTGTGGTCTGCCGTGCTCCTGTGTGGTCTGCCGTGCTCCTTCTTGGTCTGCCGTGCTCATGTGCGGTCTGCCGTGCTCCTGTGCGGTCTGCCGTGCGAACGTGTGGACTGCCGTGCTCATTTGGGGTCTGCCTTGCTCCTTTGTGGTTTGCCGCGCTCCTGTGTGGTCTGCCGTGCTCCTGTGTGGTCAGCAGACCCAGGGCTGAGGGAAGGCTGGAGCAGTGCTCTGGTGGTCCTTCACCCGCCCAGCTCCGTCCCCTCCCACTCTGGACCGATCTTGCGGGAAGCTGGCTTGTGGCAGCGCATCGCGCGTCGGCCGCCAGCCCAGGTGCCGGCCCGGGCGTTCGGTTCGAGCGCCGGCCTGGGTGCCGGAATCGGCCCGGAAGGGGTTCCAGGGCGCCGGGAGCAGAAAATCAATATTTTCGAAAGAAAAATATGTCTTGGAGTGGCCTTTTTTCCGCACCGCCTCGGAATTCAATTTTCCGGCGCCGGCCGGCGCCGGAACCGGCCCGGGCGCTGGCCCGGGTGCTGGCCCGGGCGTTTGGCTCGAGCGCCGGCCCGGGTGCCAGAAGCGGCCCGGAAGGGGTTCCCGGGCGCCGGGAGCAGAAAATCAATATTTTCGAAAGAAAAATATGTCTTGGAGTGGCCTTTTTTCGGCACCGCCTCGGAATTCAATTTTCCGGCGCCGGCCGGCGCCGGAACCGGCCCGGGCGCTGGCCCGGGTGCTGGCCCGGGCGTTTGGCTCGAGCGCCGGCCCGGGTGCCAGAAGCGGCCCGGAAGGGGTTCCCGGGCGCCGGGAGCAGAAAATCAATATTTTCGAAAGAAAAATATGTCTTGGAGTGGCCTTTTTTCGGCACCGCCTCGGAATTCAATTTTCCGGCGCCGGCCGGCGCCGGAACCGGCCCAGGCTGCCGTGCTCCTGTGTGGTCAGCCGTGCTCCTGAGGCGTCTACGGTGCTCTTTTGGGGTCTGCCGTACTCATTTGGGGTCTGCCGTGCTCCTGTGGTCGGCCGTGCTCATTTGGGGTCTGCCGCGCGCCTGTGAGATCTGCCGTGCTCCTGTTGGGGAAACGCCAGCGGCGTTCGGGGTACAACAAAAAGGCGCGTTTATGTTGTACCCGCGCGCGGTCTGCCGTGCTCCTGTGGGTTCCGCCGTGCTCCTGTGGCGTCTGCCGTGCTCCTGTGGCGTCTGCCGGGCTCCTGTGTGGTCTGCCGTGCTCCTTTGTGGTCTGCCGTGCTCCTGTGGAGTCTGCCGTGCTCCTGTGTGGTCTGCCGTGCTCTTGTGGTCTGCCGTGCTCATTTGGGATTTGCCGTGCTCATGTGGGGTCTGCCGTACTCCTGTGTGGTCTGCCGTGCTCCGGTGGTCTGCCGTGCTCCTTTGGGGTCTGCCTTGCTACTGTGGGGTCTGCCGTGCTCCTGTGTGGTCTGCCGTGCTCCTGTGGTTTGCCTTGCTCCTGTGTGGTCTGCCGTGCTCCTTTTGGGTCTGCTCTGCCGTGCTCCTGTGGGGTCTGCCGTGCTCCTGTGGGGTCTGCCGTGCTCTTGTGGGGTCTGCCGTGCTCTTGTGTGGTCTGCCGTGCTCCTTTGTGGTCTGCCGTGCTCCTGTGTGGTCTGCCGTGCTCCTGTGTGGCCTGCCGTGCTCTTGTGTGGTCTGCCGTGCTCCTGTTGGTCTGCCGTGCTCTTCTGTGGTCTGCCGTGCTCCTATGGGTCTGCCGTTGTTCGGCCGTCTTGAGGGCACTCTTAGGGCATAGTCTGCCGTGCTCCTCGTCTTGGTCTGCCGTGCTCCTCGTCTTGGTCATCCTTTCCGTCGTCTTGAGGGCGCTCTTGGTGCCTGTCTGCCGTGCTCCTCGTCTTGGTCTGCCGTGCTCCTCTCGGTTCCTAAGCCTGGTCTGCCGTGCTCCTCGTCTTGGTCTGCCGTGCTCCTCTCGGTTCCTACGCGCGGTCTGCCGTGCTCCTGTGGGGAGCACGGCAGACCACAGGAGCACGGCAGACCACACAGGAGCACGGTCCGTAGCCATTTTGGCTCAAGGCCATGGCGCACCCGACGACCGCGAGTCCGTCGGGCGTTCTTGAGCGCGAGGGGCGCCCCGCCGCGAGCCAGAAGCTTCGCCAATTTTGTTCTTCTTCGTTCCTGCAGGGCCGAGTGTATCGGCCGCGCAGCTGTCAGTCTTCCCTGGGTGTGCCGCCATGTCGGAGGTTGCCTCGGGGCTGGCCAGGCGGGCGTACTGGTTGTGTGCTAAGCGTGGCTGCAGTGCTTGGAACTGGTGTGACAAGCGGTGGACTTGCAAGGCGTGCGGCACCAGTGCTCCCCCATGGACGAAGGAGTATCGCTCTGACAAGCCCCCCCCGCGGGCGGACGCAGACGGGTTCGTGCAGCAGCCCAGGGGAAGGGCTGAGCAGCGCGCTGCGAGGCGCTCGGCCTCCCAGCGGGCCCTCTCGGGGAGCACCGCGCCCAGCAGCGCCCCCAACAGCAGGGCGCGGCGCGCGCGGCCTTGGGGAGAGGCCAAGACGCAGAACGAGGAGCTGCAGGCGCAGCTCGATGCGGCCAGGGAGCGCGTCGCCACGCTCCAGGGGGCTTCGGCGCTCGGGCTCTCCGTGGACTTCCAGCGTGAGGCGGAGAACGCCCTCCAGCAGGGCAAGGACCAGGTCGCCGCCCTGGAGCGGTCCGTCCAGGAGGCCCAGCAGACGGAGCGCCCGCCTCACTCGGTGCTCCACATTGAGGCCAACGCCATCCAGAAGGTCGAGCGCCAGTTGGCCACGGCGCGTACCAGGAAGGAGAAGCTCCAGCTGCAGGCGTCCGAGCTGCGCGAGCTCATCGCGGAGAAGCAGGAGCAGCTATCGGCAGCCGAGTTGGGGGTTGATGAAGTCACTGGGCAGATTGCAGAGCTGGAAGAGACCAGGGCCAAGGTCACTCAGCAGGCGATCCAGCGGGCCAGCGCAGCGGTCGGAGGCGTGCCGAGCCCGCTTGGGGACGCAGTCCAGGGGCTGCTCTCTCAGGTTGGCGCCCTTTCGGATCTCCTCAAGCAGCACGGCGCCGACCTGCCGCCCAGGTTTTCGGAGATCGTCGAGATTCTCAACACGCAGAAGGAGGCGGTCGCTGACGTGCTCAGGCCCCGAAGCAGCTCGGTCAGGAAGCGTTGGGGCGACAGCGTCGGTGACGACGGCCTCGCGACCGAGGATGACGACATGCCGCTCGACATCGTGGCCCCAGGTGGGCCCGCGGCCGCCCCTCCCGCGGCCGCCCCGCTGGCAGGGCCGACCGCGGCTGGGCCGCCAGCCGCGCGAGTCAGGCCAGCGGACGGACCCTACGGCCCAGCAGCGGCCCGTGGCCAACACGGGGCTACCCTGGGCGCGTGGCCTCAGGTGGAGCCCAGCCTCACCAAGGCCCTCGCCGAGCAAGGGGCGGCCTTCACGGACGGCGACCCCTTGTTGGCTGCGGCTGCTGTCGTTGCTCCTGCTGCTGGGTACGGGCCGCGCCGTGGGTGATGCTGGAGCGTGGGAGTGGTCAGCTTCCACAGTCGGCCTCGATGTGGGGGCCAGCGAGACGCCATCCCCTCGGGATGTGCGCGGGCCTAGCTGTTGGGACAGGTGGAGGAGGCGCTGTGACGGCCGCTGGCGCGTCCGCGCCCCCCGCAGGCGGCGGGCGGCGCCGAGCACCCTCGCCCGGGGTAGCCAGCCGGCGCGGTCGGGATCACCGAGGTGGCCCCCCGACGGCCAGTCAGGGGCCGAGAGCGGTGGGATTCAGCCCCACGACGTCGCAGCTCTCGGCCCCGTTGGCGATGGGCATGCGCACCCCCCGCTGGCAACCGGAGGGGCGGAGGGACGGCCACCTCCCCAGCCCTGCGATGGCGCGCCGCGGAGGGAGGGACGGCCACCTCCCGTTCTGGCGAGCGGCCCGCCGACGCCGCTGAGGAGCGCTGGAGCGAGGGGCCAGGTCCCCCCTCCAGTCCTGGTGGGGGCGGAGGGTCCCGCGACCAGGAGCACAGCGGGCCCCGTGTCTGACGCTGATGGGCGGGCCGCTCGCGAGGCAGCTGTCATCGGCAAGGCGCCGCAGGTCGGCAGGGCAGGAGGCCAGCAGCTTAGAGCCGGCCTCGTCATGTTCGGCTGCAACGGCAACGCTTGGAGCAGGAGCATTGAAGCCCTCGAGGCCTTCTTCAAGGCGTACGACTACTGGCCTGACGTCGTGGCGCTGCAGGAGACGAGGCTCCTGCGTGCGCGCCTGGCCAGTGCTGCGGCTCAGGCCCGCGGCCTGGGCTACGCGGCCTTCCTCCACGAGGCGGCGCCGACGGAGAAGCAAGGGCCCCAGGCGACCTCAGGCGGCGTGGCGATTCTGGTGCGAGACGGCTTGCAGGCCGACGAGTCGGCGTGCCCTTTGCCCTCGGCCTTGCGCCACCGCCTCATCGGGGTGGAGGTCGCCGCTGCCTCGGGCTTTCGGGTCCTGGTGCTGGCTGGGTACTTTCAGCACTCTGTGGGCCCTCGAGGCACCAACCTGGACTTGTTTTCGGCCATCTCGGAGGTGACGGGCTTTTCTGCCGACATCCCGTGGGTCCTCCAAGCCGACTTCAACATGGAGCCCGAGCCACTGGAGGAATTGGGGTGGCCCGCTGCGGTGCGGGGGCATGTCCTGGGGCCCTCGGAGGCGACGTGCCATGCCGAGGGATGTGACCACCTCTACGACTGGTTCGTGGCTTCCTCGGCGTTGGCAGCCTGCACGGCCTCCTGCGCCACCACGCTCGAGGGCTTCGGTCTGCACCCTCATCGCCCTGTCCTGCTTCGTCTCCAGGACGTTCGGGCAGATGCGTTGGTGGAGGTTCCGTCCAGGCCCGCACGCTTCCCCGAAGTTGCTCCTGAGCTCCTTCGGGCGCGCGAGGACGCGGAGATTGCGTGCTACTCGGTTGGCAAGAAAGGACAGGTCACGCCCAGGAGCGTTGCGTGGTCCTGGGACGCAGGCACTTCGCCGACCAACCTCTCCGACGCCTTCAGCGAGTGGGCTGCGGCGGCAGAAGGCACCCTGGTCGGCATCCACGGCATCGTCCAGGCCGACTTGGCCCGTCATCTCGGCAGAGGAGAGGGGCCGCGGCTGACCCTCAAGCCCCTCAGTGCCTTGGTCAAGCGAGACGCCAGGTTCAGGTTCATCCTCCTCACGCACCGCCTGCGGAGCTGCCTGGACGTTGCCCTCCAGCGGCTGCGCGCTGAGAGGACTGGCCGCTGGCACCCTCGGCATGCAGACTGGTACGGGCACCAGGCCGGGCTCAGGGCGCAGCTCTTGCTGGAGGCGGTGCAGGAGGCCGCCGACTCGGACGGTGGAGCTCTTCCTGGCGCAGCTCCTGATCGACTGGGCGACCTGGTGTTTCAGGCGGGCGTCCACGGCAGCCCTGATGCCGTTCGGGACCTCCAAGGGCTGCTCGGAGCATCGCAGCGCCGCGACGCGGCGGAGAGCGCCCAGGCCTGGCGCAACTGGGCGCAGACAGCGGTTGAGAAGGGCGGTCGTCTGGCCCACCGCTTCTCGAAGGCGACGCCGCCGCCGACGGTCAGGGACGCTGACTCTGGCAGGAGGCTCGTTGGGATGGCAGCGATCGGCGAGCTCACGAGTGTCTGGCAGAAGCTGTGGCTCCAGGACGGCTTTGCCCTGGGTGCTGGGGCCAGCAGCTGGGACGTTGGCGAGTGGCGGCTGCCACCCATCTCGCTGGAGCAGCTCCAGGCGGCCTGCAAGCGCTACAGCCCCTCGGTGGGGCTCGGGTGCGACTCTCTGCACCCTCGGCAGATCCTCCTGCTGCCCGTGGCGCTGCAGCAGCGCATCCTGGACATCCTGGCGGCCTACGACGACGCCCCTGCATCGATCAGCGGGCAGGTCTCCCTGATGGTGTTCATCCCGAAGGCAGATGGATGGGGTAAGGCCCATTGCGCTGCTGCCGCTGGTCCTGCGGCTGTGGTCGCGCCTCCGCCAGCCGCGCTGCGCCCGCTGGGAGGCTGACCACGACTTCCCCTTTTTCTGGGGACGTGACGGACGGGACTGCGAGCGGGCTGGGTGGCTGCACAACTGTTTTGCGGGGTTCGCGATGGCGAACCAGCAGTTCGAGGCCGCGAGCCTCTTCCTGGACATCAGCAAGTTCTACGAGCACGTGCGACATGATGTGCTCTGGGCGAATGCAGTACGTTTCGGGTTCAACCTCAGGCTGCTGCGCGGCCTCCTCACCTCCTACCAGGCCCCAAGGATGGTCCTCGCGGCGGGCATGGCTTCCCCCGCCTTCGGCACTACGGGTACGGTTCTGGCTGGGTGTGCGTGTGCGACAGCAGTTGCGAAGCTCCCAGTGCTGGGCGCCCTCCTGGCCGCGGGGGCGATGTGCCCATTGATCACGCCGCGGAACGTTGTCGACGACATCTCGCTCCAGGCGGTCGGCACGGCCCGACTAGTCAAGCGTCGGATGTTGGTTTCCAGCTGTGAAGTGGTCCGCCTGCTGCGTGAGCAGCACCTCCCACTCAACGAGAGTAAGTCGGTCTTCCTGGCCTCGTCGCCACAGCTCGCCAAGGAGCTCTCCGAGGCGTGGGCAGCGCAGGGCCTGGCCTTCAAGAGGGGACTGCAGGCGAGGAACCTCGGCACCGACGCCAACATCACTCGTCGAGGCGTGCATGAAGGAGCTGTGCGTGCGGTCGGCGGCCTTCGGCGTGGCCGCAGGCTCGGGGTGCTTCGCTCCGCTGGGGCGGCGACCGAGATGGTCCACCGTGCTGGGCCCACCGCAGCGATGCTGTGGGGGCGTACTGTGACTGGTGTGCCTGATGGGGAGCTACATTCGTGGCGCTTGGCGGCGGCGCGCTCGGCTGGGAAGCTCCCCAAGGGCGCCTCACTCGGGCTGAGGCTCAGGGCGGAGGAGGTCATGCGGTCCATCGACCTCGACCCGAGCCCCGCGTTGCTTCGTGCCGCTGTGCAGATGGCGGCCAGCCTCCTGCAGTCGGGGGAGGTCTCGCAGCGCATGTTCGAGACGGCCGTGCAGGAGGCGCAGTGGAGGCACGCGGGAGCAGCAGCCCCATGGGCGCATTGCCGTACGCCAGTGGATGCCCTGGCTCTCTCGCTCACCAGGGTGGGCTGGAGACTCGTCCAAGGCACCTGCCTCGCCACCGACGACGGCCACTTCCTGGACCTGCGCATGATGGGGCCGCGCGAGCTGGGCCTGCTGGCAGCGGCAGGGGCGCGGCGTGCTTCGGACAGGTCGGAGCTGGCCCGCCTAGGCCATGGAGCGCTCCCCCCGATGCCCCTGTTCTGGGAGGCCTTCTCGGAGGTCCTCGGGTCGGGCAGCAAGCTCAGCCCCAGGGAGAAGGCGGCGGTGGTGAGTTTCCTCTCCAACGCCCACTGGCCCCAGATCCGTCTGCACTCGGCGGGGGAGAGGGAGCATGCTCGCTGCTGCGCATGCGATGCACCCCGCGGCAGTCTCTGGCACAGGCTGTTCGAGTGTCCCGTCCTCGCGGGGCCGAGGCGCGACTCGACCTCCGACCGCCTGCGGCGCTGTGCACACCGTGCACGTGGCCGAGGTGAGGAGGCGGGGGAATGCTTTGCGCGCTGCTGGCTCCCTCAGCCCCCGAGGGCCGCTCTGAGGTCGGATGCCATGGCTGTCATGTGGTGCAATCGCCCCGTTGACGGTCTCCTCGGGGGGCGCCTCTACCTGGATGGGTCGGCGCTCGACCCCGAGCACGCGAGCCTGCGGCGTGCGGGCTGGAGCATCGTGCAGTGCGACTCCGACGGCAACATGGAGTGCGCGGTGTACGGCAGCGTGCGCCAAGACCTCTGCCCTTTCCAGTCGGCCAAGGACGGTGAGGATTTCGCGGTCTGGATGCTGTCCCGCTTCCTGGGCCCGTGTGTGGACGAGATCCTCATCGATTGTGCGTCTACGGTCAGCTGCATGACGTTGGGCAAGAAGTACGCGACGGCAGCCAACAAGCCCAATGCCCATCTCTGGGCGGGGATCTACGCTTCGCTGGACGTGGACATGCTTAAGGTTACCAAGGTGGCAGCCCACTGCACCGCCCGTGACGTGCTGGATGGCAAGATCACGGAGGCGGACCTCCGCGGCAATGGTCATGCCGACCGCTGGGCCAAGGCAGGTGCGGCGCTGCACCGCTTCAGCCCCGTGGCCAGGCGGGAGTTCTTCGGCACGATGGAGGTGGTGAGGGAGCTCTCATGCTGGGTGGCGCAGGCCTCCCTCATCTGGCAGGGGATCGAGGTCAAGGACTGCGAGGGCCTGCCAGAGGGCAGCGAGCGGAGGGCTGTTTCCTTCGCCGCGCCCGTGGCGGAGCCTGCCAGGCGCCGCCAGGTCGACTCGGGTTCGGGCGACGGGTGGGCCTCGGCGGCGCGCGCTGGTGGAGTATCCCTCGGTGCGACGGCCTTCGTTTTCGCTGGCCACGTCCTGGCCTTCGCCAGGTGCGGGGAGGGCGCCGCCGAGCAGGAGCTGATGGCGTGCACCCACTGCGGGGCGTACGCGCGGCTTGGCGGGCGCTCAGGCGCGGCACCCAAGCTCAAGGAGCAATGCCCAGGGTCTGCAGGGCTCCCCAAGGGCAGGCGCGACCAGAAGGCACGCTGGCTGCAGGGGCGGCACCCTGCTGGCACGCCCCACAGCGGCAACAAGCGGGCCAGCGGCGCGGCGGTGCCCAGCCTTCGCAAGGAGGACGTGGTGCCGATGGACGCCAGGGTGCGCTTCCTGCAGTGGCTGGGCGTCCGTCCCGAGGACGGTGCCCCTGGCGGCGATGCCGCCGGCGCCAGCCGCGGGCCCCCCAGCGGCGCGTCGGCCGCTGGCGAGGCTGCGGCGGCGCCGCTGGTGCCTGGCCCCGCGGGGGCCTCGAGGGAGGCATGGCGCGGGGGCCTCGAGGGAGGCATGGCTGAGCGCCTACGGCCTGGACGAGGCGAGCCTCCTCGAGTGGTCGGCCGCGGCAGAGGCGGCGCGCGAGGACAGGCGCAAGCGGCGCCGCCGCGCTGATGAAGACGAGGGGTCGTGATGCAGCATCATCTTCTTCTTCCTGTTGTGTCCGCCCTCTCTCGTGGTCTGCAGGTCAGCAGACACCTTCATTCTGTGAGTTCGTGTGGCTGCACCTTCATTTGTTGCGTGTTTCAGCCCTCACGTCGAGGTCAGGCATGTTAGCGTTGGCGGCGTGTGCTGGCCATCACCCTTGAGGTTCGTGAGGCTGCTCAGTCTTTTTGTCGTGAGTTTCTGCCCTCTCGTCCTCTGGAGGTCAGGCGTGTTTGGCGTTTGCAATGCGTGTGCTGGCCGTATGTGAGGTTTCGAGAGGCTGCACCGTCTTCTTGTTGTGTGCGTCAGCCCTCTCGTCGAGGTCAGGCCTGTTTGGCTTTGGCAACGCGTGGACGGACCTCCCCTCGTGTTCGTGAGGCCCTTCGTCATTTTGTCGTGAGTGTGGGCCTCGCGTCTTGTTTGCAGCGAGGCAGGCATGGTTGGCCTCGCCATGCGTGCCCTCGCCTCCGCCTGCATTCTTGATTTCTTTGAAATCTGGGCGCTTCGCGCTTCTGGCGCTTCGCGCCCTCCCTGTCGGTGGCTCCTTCGGGGCCCCGTGGTTTGGCTCTGGAGGCCCTGGGGCCAACGTGCTCCGCGGGCCTCGGGCTCCTTTAGCCTTCATAGGCCCCGCAGCACAAGCACACAGGAGCACGGCAGACCACACCTCGATTTTTTGAGGATGTCTCGAGCGAAATGGCCGTGGTCTGCCGTGCTCCACACAGGAGCACGGCAGACCACCTGCTCATTTTCTGAGGACGTCCCGAGCGAAAACGTCATTTTTAACATAAGAGGTTGTAAAACACCTCTGTCGGCATCTCATTTTTTCGAGGATGTCTCGAGCGAAACGCTCATTTTTCATGCATAACAAAAATTTTTGATATTTTTCAACATCCCGATTTTTTGAGGATGTCTCGAGCGAAACCGTCATTTTTAACATAAGACGTCTTAAACGATAGCCTCCAACACCTCGATTTTTCGAGGATGTCTCGAGCGAAATGGCCATTTTGGGGAACCTGACCGGACAAGAACGGGAAGCGCCGTTTTTTATCCACCACGTGCGTCAGAGACCGTATTGGCGAGAACGTCAGAGAAACCCATAAACGCAACAGAACAGACTAAATGGTGGCCTGCCGCGCTGGTCTGTCGAGGTAGTCTGCTGCCCTGGCCACATCATGGTGTCGACACCGTGCTTTTCTCTCGGCCACGCGGGCCCCCACCCGTTGTCGCCCAGCCTACTTTTTCTGTTCCAGCCTGTCTTGTCTTTTGTTTGTCCGTCGTCGTCGTCGCGTGCCTTTCCTTTGTCGTGGTCGTCGTTTTCATTATAATCGTCCGCTGTTGCCGTTCTCGCTGTCGCCGTCGTTATCATTTTATGATTGCGGTCGTTTTTCTGATTGTTTTTTTGTTGTTGGATTCCGTGTTCGGTTGGTTTTTGTGTTATGTTTGTGGTCGTTTTCTGTCATCGTTTTTTGTCGTAATTTTCGAGATCGTTATTGACGAAGACGACGACGACGACGATGACGACGACGACGATCTGCCGTGCTTCTGTGGCGTCTGCGGTGCTCCTGTGGTCTGCCGTGCTCCTTCTTGGTTTGCCGTGCTCCTGTGTGGTCTGCCGTGCTCCTGTGCGGTCTTCCGTGCTCCTGTGGTCTGCCGTGCTCCTTTGGGGTCTGCCGTGCTCCTGTGGAGTTTGCCGTGCGAACGTGTGGTCTGCCGTGCTCCTGTGTGGTCTGGCGTGCTCCTGTATGGTCTGCCGTGCTCTTGTGTGGTTTGCCGTGCTCCTGTGTGGTCTGCCGTGCTCCCGTGGGTCTGCCGTGTCTGTGTGGTCTGCCGTGCTCCTGTGTGGTCTGCCGTGCTCCTGTGTGGTCTGCCGTGCTCCTTCTTGGTCTGCCGTGCTCATGTGCGGTCTGCCGTGCTCCTGTGCGGTCTGCCGTGCGAACGTGTGGACTGCCGTGCTCATTTGGGGTCTGCCTTGCTCCTTTGTGGTTTGCCGCGTTCCTGTGTGGTCTGCCGTGCTCCTGTGTGGTCAGCAGACCCAGGGCTGAGGGAAGGCTGGAGCAGTGCTCTGGTGGTCCTTCACCCGCCCAGCTCCGTCCCCTCCCACTCTGGACCGATCTTGCGGGAAGCTGGCTTGTGGCAGCGCATCGCGCGTCGGCCGCCAGCCCAGGTGCCGGCCCGGGCGTTCGGTTCGAGCGCCGGCCTGGGTGCCGGAATCGGCCCGGAAGGGGTTCCAGGGCGCCGGGAGCAGAAAATCAATATTTTCGAAAGAAAAATATGTCTTGGAGTGGCCTTTTTTCCGCACCGCCTCGGAATTCAATTTTCCGGCGCCGGCCGGCGCCGGAACCGGCCCGGGCGCTGGCCCGGGTGCTGGCCCAGGCGTTCGGCTCGAGCGCCGGCCCGGTGCCGGAAGCGGCCCGGAAGGGGTTCCCGGGCGCCGGGAGCAGAAAATCAATATTTTCGAAAGAAAAATATGTCTTGGAGTGGCCTTTTTTCGGCACCGCCTCGGAATTCAATTTTCCGGCGCCGGCCGGCGCCGGAACCGGCCCGGGCGCTGGCCCGGGTGCTGGCCCGGGCGTTTGGCTCGAGCGCCGGCCCGGGTGCCAGAAGCGGCCCGGAAGGGGTTCCCGGGCGCCGGGAGCAGAAAATCAATATTTTCGAAAGAAAAATATGTCTTGGAGTGGCCTTTTTTCGGCACCGCCTCGGAATTCAATTTTCCGGCGCCGGCCGGCGCCGGAACCGGCCCAGGCTGCCGTGCTCCTGTGTGGTCAGCCGTGCTCCTGAGGCGTCTACGGTGCTCTTTTGGGTCTGCCGTACTCATTTGGGGTCTGCCGTGCTCCTGTGGTCGGCCGTGCTCATTTGGGGTCTGCCGCGCGCCTGTGAGATCTGCCGTGCTCCTGTTGGGGAAACGCCAGCGGCGTTCGGGGTACAACAAAAAGGCGCGTTTATGTTGTACCCGCGCGCGGTCTGCCGTGCTCCTGTGGGTTCCGCCGTGCTCCTGGGGCGTCTGCCGTGCTCCTGTGGCGTCTGCCGGGCTCCTGTGTGGTCTGCCGTGCTCCTTTGTGGTCTGCCGTGCTCCTGTGGAGTCCCCCATTCCTACCTCCGTCCACAGCGTTCGGCATGTCTGCGTGCCCATTTGGGGCGATTTGCCGTGCACGTGTGGGGTCCTCCGTACAACCTGTGTGTCGCCGTGCTCCGTTGGTCGCGTGCTCCTTTTGGGGGACGGCTGCTACTGTGGGTCTAAGCCGTGCTCCTGTGTGTCTGCCGTGCTTCCTGTGGTTTGCCGTGCTCCTGAGTGTCTGCCGTGCTCCTTTTGGGTCTGCTCTGCCGTGCTCCTGTGGGGTCTGCCGTGCTCCTGTGGGGTCTGCCGTGCTCTTGTGGGGTCTGCCGTGCTCTTGTGTGGTCTGCCGTGCTCCTTTGTGGTCTGCCGTGCTCCTGTGCGGTCTGCCATGCTCCTGTGTGGCCTGCCGTGCTCTTGTGTGGGCTGTGGGCTGCGGGGCCTATGAAGGCAACAGGAAGCCCGAGGCCCACGGAGCCCATTGGCCCCAGGGCCTCAAGGGCCAGCCCTGGGGGCCCCAAGGGGCCCCAGCAGGGGAGGGCGCGAAGCGCCAAACGCGCGAAGCGCACGATTTCTAAGAAACCAGGAAGGCAGCAGGGGCAGGGCCAGGCACGTCCGCCCAGCAAGCCCCCCGCTGCAAGTGCACAATGGGCAGAAGTGCTGCCTCACGCACAGAAAGGAAAAGGGTGACGAGGGGCGGAAACAACAAAGGGAGAAGATGATGCTGCAACTCTACCCCTCGTCACCAACAGCGCGGCGGCGTCTCATGCGCCTGCCCTCGCTCGCCGTCTCAGCCGCGGCTGACCATTCACCACTTCTACGTCGCCTTCTGCGCCCAGCATGCCGCGGCACCGAAGGCGCTCGGAGCGCTCTGAGCGGGCCAATGGGCGGAGGCTGCCCTTCCCACTGCAGCTCGGCCAGCCACGTCCTCAGGCACACATAGTCGTAACGCCGCATGCAGTCCGACACGATCCTCTGCGACCGCGTCAGCGTGCGCCGCCACCTGAAGTAGGCACGCCTCGCAGGCATGCCAGTCCCCCAGGCTCGCTCGCAGATCTCCTCGGCCATCTCTACGGCCGTCCTCCCACGCGCCCGCAGCCTGGTGGCGAAGCGCGGCTGGGACAGGAACTGCGTGACGTAGCCGACGCAGTGGTCCATCCACTCGCTGTAGCATTCCATCGTCTCGCCGACCTCGGGAGCCTGGGTCCAGTAGCGCGCCCATCCAGCGACCTGCAGCTCAAGCCTGGGCGCGACGCTGCGCCTCGGCTGCTCTGGCTCAGGCCGAGCCACCGCAGAGCCAGGGCATCGCTCCTTGAGCACGGGCGCCGCGCCTGTGCGCCCGCCAAGCCTCACGGTCGCCCCGCAGTGGGTGCACGCCATCAGCTCCTGATCGGCTGCGCCGACTCCATACTTGGCGAGGGCCACCCCCTGCCAGATGAGGGAGGCTGCCGTCCAGCATGAGAGCTCCCTCTCCAGCTCCATCGTGCCGAAGAACCCGCGCCTGGCCACCGCGCTGGCGCGGTGCAGCCCCGCACCTGCCTTGGCCCAGCGTTCGGCATGACCGCTGCCGCGGTGGTAAGCTCCCATGGCCTTGCCAACCAGCACGTCTCTGGCGGTGCAGTGAGCAGCAGCCATGGTCACCTTGAGCGTGTGTACGACCAGCGAAGCGTAGATCCCCTCCCCGAGCTGGGCAATGGGCTGAAGCCACGAGCCAGTCGTAGAGGGGGGCGCCGCCCTCGCCAAGGTACATCGCCTCCGAGGGTCACAGGACGTGTCCCCGTGCCGCCACTGCCATCCCAACACCTCAAGGGACTCATCCTCCATGTTGAAGTAGGCTATGAGGTCCCACGGGATGTCGGCAGAGAAGCCCGTCACCTCCACACCGCTGGGGCGGTGCCGCAAGGCCGAGGGCAGCGAGGACGCCGACACGTCGGCCTGCAAGCCGTCTCGCACCAGGATCGCCGCCCCGTCTGAGGTCGCCTGGGGCCCCTGCCTGTCCGACAGCTCTGCCTCAGGGGGGAAGGCAACGTCTCCCAGGCCGCGGCCCTGAGCCGCCATCATGGGCGGGCGCTCATGCGGGAGCCTCATCTCCTGGAGCACCGCCACGTCGGGCCAGTAGCTGCACGTCTTGAAGAAAGCTACAAAGCCCCAAATACACCTGCTCCACGCGTGGCCGTTGCAGCCGAACAAGACGAGGCCAGCTCTGAGCTGTTGGCCTCCTGCCCTGTCACCCATCGGCGCCTTGCCGATGACGGCTGCCACGTGGACCGCGCGTTGGCCAGCGCCCGACACCGGGCACGCCGCGCCCCTGGTCGCGGGACCCTCCGCCCCCACCAGGACTGGAGGGGGGACCTGGCCCCGCGTTCCAGCGCTCCTCATCGGCGGCGGCGGGCGACTGGCCAGCACGGGAGGTGGCCGCCGCTGAGGAGGTGGCCGCCCCTCGACTCCTCTGGTTGCCAGCGGGGGGTGCCCCTGCCCATCACCATCGGGGCCGCGAGCTGCGACGTCGTGGGGCTGAATCCCACCGCTCACGTCCCCTGACTGGCCGTCGGGGGGCCACCTCGGTGTTCCCGACCGCGCCAGTTGGCTACTTCGGGCAAGGGTGCTCGGCTCCGCCCGTCTCCTGCGAGGGCCGCGGGCTCGCCAGCGGCCAGCACAGCGCCTCCTCCACCTGTCCCAGCAGCTGGGCCCTCTCACGTCCCACGGGAGGGGCGCTCCGCTGTCCCAGACGACGAGGTCGGCGGAGGAAAGTTCCCACTCCGACGTTCTCGCGTCACCCACGGCGCGGCCCGTATCCAGCAGCAGGAGCAACCACAGCTGCCGCAGCCACCAAGGGGTCGCTGTCCGTGAGGGCCGCCCCCTGCTCGGCGAGGGCCTTAGCGAGGCCTGGCTCCACCTGAGGCCACGCGCCCAGGGTCGTCCCGTGCTGGCCGCGGGCCGCTGCAGGGCCGTAGGGCCCATCCACTGACCTGGCCCGCGGGCCTTGCGGCCCAGCCGCGGTAGGCCCTGCCTGCGGGGCTGCCGCGGGCGGGGCGGCCGCTGGCCCCCCAGAGGCCACGACGTCAAGCGGCATGTCGTCATCCTCGGACGCGATGCCATCATCCCCGACGCTGTCGCCCCACCGCGTCCTGGCCGAGCTGCTGCGGGGCCTGAGCGCCTCGGCGACCGCGTCCTTCTGCGTGTTGAGAATCCCGACGATCTCGGAGAACCGAGGGGGCAGCTCCGACCCGTGCTGCTTGAGGAGATCCGAAAGGGCGCCGACCTGCGTGAGCAGCCCTTGGACGGCGTCCCCAAGCGGGCTCGGAGCACCGCCGACGGCCGCGTTGGCCCGCTGGATCGCCTGCTGCGTGACCTTGGCTCGGGTCTCCTCCAGCTCTGCAATCTGCCCCGCGACCTCATCCACTCCCAACTCGGCTGCCGACAGCTGCTCCTGCTTCTCCGCGATGAGCTCGCGCAGCTCGGACGCCTGCAGCTGGAGCTTCTCCTTCTTGGTGCGTGCCGCGGCCAGCTGGCGCTCGACCTTCTGAATGGCGTTGGCCTCGATGTGGAGCACCGAGTGAGGAGGGCGGTCCGTCCTCTGGGCTTCCAGGACGGCCAGCTCACAGGCGGCGACCTGGTCCTTGCCCAGCTGGAGGGCGCCCTCCACTTCCCGCTGGAAGTCCGCCGAGAGCCCGAGCGCCAGGGCCTCCTGGAGCTTGTCGACGCGCTCCTTGGCCGCCACGAGCTGCGCCTGCAGCTCCACGCACTGGGCCTTGGCCTCTCCCCGAGGCCGCACCCGCCTTGCCCTGCTGTTGGGGGTGCTGCTGGGCGCGGTGCTCCCCGAGAGGGCCCGCTGGGAGGCTGAGCGCCTCGCTGCCCGCTGTTCAGCCCTTCCCCTGGGTTGCTGAACGAACCCGTCAGCGTCCACTCTCGGGGGGCCCCTGTCGGGGCGGTACTCCTTCGTCCAGGGGGGAGCACTGGTGCCGCACACCTTGCACGTCCACCGCTTGTCACACCAGTTCCAAGCGTCGCAGCCACGCTTAGCACACAGCCAGTACGCCCGCCTGGCCAGCCCCGAGGCACCCTCCGACATGGCGGCGCGCCGTGGGACTGACTGCTGCCCGGCCGAATCTCCCGGCCCTGAAGGAACGAGGAGAAACAAAATTGGCGAAGCTTCTGGCTCTTGGCGAAGCGCCCCTCGCGCTCAAGAACGCCCGACGGACTCGCGGTCGTCGGGTGCGCCATGGCCTTGAGCCAAAATGGCTACGGACCGTGCTCTTGTGTGGTCTGCCGTGCTCCTGTTGGTCTGCCGTGCTCTTCTGTGGTCTGCCGTGCTCCTATGGGGTCTGCCGTTGTTCGGCCGTCTTGAGGGCACTCTTAGGGCATAGTCTGCCGTGCTCCTCGTTTTGGTTTGCCGTGCTCCTCGTCTTGGTCATCCTTTCCGTCGTCTTGAGGGCGCTCTTGGTGCCTGGTCTGCCGTGCTCCTCGTCTTGGTCTGCCGTGCTCCTCTCGGTTCCTAAGCTGGTCTGCCGTGCTCCTCGTCTTGGTCTGCCGTGCTCCTCTCGGTTCCTACGCGCGGTCTGCCGTGCTCCTGTGGGGAGCACGGCAGACCACAGGAGCACGGCAGACCACACAGGAGCACGGCAGACCACACCTCGATTTTTTTTTTTTCCGTAGCCATTTTGGCTCAAGCCATTTTGGCTCAAGGCCATGGCGCACCCGACGACCGCGAGTCCGTCGGGCGTTCTGGAGCGCGAGGGGCGCTTCGCCAAGAGCCAGAAGCTTCGCCAATTTTGTCTCTCCACGTTCCTCCAGGGCCGTGGGTTTCGGCCGAGCAGCAGTCAGTCCCGCGGTGCGCCGCCATGTCGGAGGTTGCCTCGGGGCTGGCCAAGCGGGCGTACTGGCTGTGTGCTAAGCGTGGCTGCAACGCTTGGAACTGGTGCGACAAGCGTTGGACGTGCAAAGTGTGTGGCACCAGTGCGCCCCCTTGGACGAAGGAGTACCGGACTGACAAGGGCCCCCCGAGAGTGGACGCTGACGGGTTCGTACAGCAGCCCAGAGGGAGGGCTGAACAGCGGGCTGCGAGGCGCTCAGCTTCCCAGCGGGCCCTCTCTGGGAGCACCGCGCCCAGCGGCACCCCCAACAGCAGGGCGCGGCGTGGGCGACCTTGGGGGGAGGCCAAGGCCCAGTTCGAGGAGCTGCAGGCGCAGCTCTTGGCGGCCAGGGAGCGCGTCGTCAAGCTCCAGGGGGCCCTGGCGCTCGGGCTCTCGGCGGACTTCCAGCGTGAGGCCGAGAGCGCCCTCCAGCTGGGCAAGGACCAGGTCGCAGCCCTGGAGCTGGCCGTCCAAGATGCCCAGCGGACGGTGCGCCCACCTCACTCGGTGCTCCACATCGAGGCCAACGCCATTAAGAAGGTCGAGCGCCAGCTGGCTGCGGCGCGCACCAAGAAGGAGAAGCTCCAGCTGCAGGCGTCCGAGCTGCGCGAACTCATCGCTGAGAAGCAGGAGCAGCTCTCGGCAGCCGAGCTGGGAATGGATGAGGTCGCCGGGCAGATTGCCGAGCTGGAGGATACCCGAGCCAAGGTCACGCAGCAGGCGATCCAGCGGGCCAACGCGGCCGTCGGAGGTGTTCAGAGCCCGCTCGGGGACGCAGTCCAAGGGCTGCTCACTCAGGTCGGCGCCCTGTCGGATCTCCTCAAGCAGCACGGGTCGGAGCTGCCCCCGAGGGTTTCCGAGATCGTCGGGATCCTCAACACGCAGAAGGAGGCGGTCGCTGGAGTGCTCAGGCCCCGCAGCAGCTCGGCCACGACTCGTTGGGGCGACAGCGTCGGGGACGATGGCCTCGCGACCGATGATGACGACATGCCGTTCGACATCGTGGCCTCTGGGGGGCCTGCGGCCGCCCCGCCCCCTGCAGCCCCGCAGGCAGGGCCTTCCGCGGCTGGGCAGCAAGGCCCGCGGGCCAGGTCAGTGGACGGGCCCTACGGCCCCGCTGCAGCCCGCGGCCAGCACGGGGCGACCCTGGGCACTTGGCCCCAGGTGGAGCCGTGCTTCGCTTAGGCCCTCGCCGAGCAAGGGGCGGCCCTCACGGACAGCGACCCCCTTGTGGCTGCGGGTGCTGTGGCTGCTCCTGCTGCTGGACACGGGCCGCGCCGTGGGTGATGCGAGTGTGTCGGATTGGGCAGCTTCCACCGCCGACATCGACGTCTGGGACGGCAGTGCGCCCTTCCTTCTGGACGGGCGAGGGCCTAGCTGCTGGGACAGGAGGAGGGGGCGCTGTGGTGGCTGCTGGCGCACCCGCGGCCATCGCAAGCGGCGGGCGGCGCCGTGCCCCCCTGCCCGAGGTAGCCAACTGGTGCGGTCGGGAACACCGAGGTGGCCCCCCGACGGCCAGTCAGGGGCCGTGAGCGGTGGGATTCAGCCCCACGACGTCGCAGCTCTCGGCCCCGTTGGTGATGGGCAGGGACACCCCCCGCTGGCAACCGGAGGGGTCGAGGGACGGCCTCCTCCTCAGCGGTGGCCACCTCCCGCGCAGGCCAGCGGCCCGCCCTCGCCGATGAGCGCTGGAGCGTGGGGCCAGGTCCCCCCTCCAGTCCTGGTGGGGGCGGAGGGTCCCGCGACCAGGGGCTCGGCGTCCTCTGTGTCGTGCGCTGGGCAGCGCGCAGTCCGCGTGGCAGCCGTCATGGGCAAGGCGCCGAAGGTGGACAGGGGGGGAGGCCAGCAGCTACGAGCTGGCCTCGTCCTCCTCGGCTGCAATGGCAACACTTGGTACAGGGGCTTTGAGGTCATAGAGGCCATCTCCAAGACGTGCTACTACTGGCTCGACGTGATGGCGCGGCAGGAGACGAGGCTATCGCTTGTGCGCCTGCCCAGTGCAGAGGCTCAGGCCCGCGGCCTGGGCTACGTGGCAGTCCTCCCCGAGGCAGCGCTGTCGGGCAAGCAGGGGCCCCAGGCGACCTCAGGCGGGACGGTGGTCCTGGTGCGAGACGGCGTGCAGGCTGACGAGTCGGAGTTCTCGCTGCCCTCCGCCTTGCGGCACCGCCTCCGCTGTGTGGAGGTAGCCTCCGCCTCGGGCCAGCAGGCCCTGGCGGTCTCGGAGTATGTCCAGCACCCTGCGGGCCCGCGAGTCTCTGACCTGGTCCTGTTTTCGGCCTTTTCGGAGGTGACGGGCCTCTCTGCCGTCAACCTGTGGGTCCTCCAAGCCGCCTTCAACATGGAGCCTCAGCCCCTCGTGGAGTTGGGTTGGCTGCGGCGGTGCGGGGACACTTCATGGAGCCCTCGGAGGCGACGTGCCATGCCGAGGGCGGCGACCACCTCTCCGAATGGATCGAAGCTTCATCGGCGTTGGCCGCCCGCGCGGCCTCCTGCGCTACCACGCGCGAGGGCTTCGGGGCGTACCCTCATCGCCCCGTCCTGCTCCGCCTCCAGGATGTCTGCTCGCTTCCTGGGCCCGCGTGTGGAGGAGATCCTCATCGGCTGTGCGTCTACGGTCAGCTGTCTCACGTTGGGCAAGAGGCACGCAACGGCAGCCAGCAGGCCCAATGCCCTTCTCTGGGAGGGGATCGACGCCTCGCTGGACGTGGACACGCTCAAGGCGACCACGGCTGCGGCTCACTGTACCGCCAGTGTCGTGCTGGGCAGCAAGGTCACGGAGGCCCACCTCAGCGGCAACGGTCTTGCCGACGGCTGGGCCAAGGCAGGTGCGGAGCGGCACCGAGCCAGCGCGGTGGCCAGGCGCGGGCTCTTCGGCACGATGGAAGTGGTGATTGAGCTTCCAGGCGGGGAGGCGCAAATCTCCCTCATCTGGCAGTGGATCGCCTTCGACAAGTGCGGAGTCGGCGCGGCCAAGCAGGAGCTGATGGCGGGCACCCACTGCGGAGCGTATGCGAGGCTTGGCGGGAGCAGAGGTGCGGCGCCCAAGCTCAAGGGGCTATGGCCTGGCGCGGTGGCGGCTCGGCCAGAGCCAGCGCAGCCGAGGCGCAGCATCGCGCCCAGGCTTGAGTGGCAGCTCGCTGTATGGGCGCGCTTCTGGACCCAGACCCCCGAGGTTGGCGAAACGATGGAATGCTACAGCGAGTGGATGGACCACTGCGTTGGCTACGTCGCGCAGATCCTGTCCCAGCCGCGCTTCGCCTCCAGGCTGCGGGCGCGTGGGAGGACGGCCGAGGAGTTAGCCGAGGAGATCTGCGAGCGGGCCTGGGGGACTGGCATGCCTGCGAGGAGGGCCTACTACAGGTGGCGCCACACGCTGACGCGGTCGCAGATGATCGTGTCGGACTGCATACGGCGCTACGAATACGTCTGCCTGCGGACGTGGATGGCCGAGATGCAGCGGGAAGGGCAGCCCCCGCCCATTGGCCCGCTCAGAGCGCCCATTGGCCCACTGCCGTGGAATGCGGGACGCAGGAGGCGACGAAGAAGTGGTTGATGTCGGCCTCCCCTGGCACGCCCCACAGCGGCAGCAAGGGGGTCGGCTCGACTGCGCCCTGCCTTCGCAGGGAGGAAGTGGTGCCGATGGCGCGAGTGCGCTTCCTTCAGTGGCTGGGGGCCTGCCCCGTGCACGCCCTGGAGGCAGGCCGCTGGCGACGGCAGTGGGCCCCCCAGCGGCGCGGCGGCGGCTGCAGAGGCGGCGGCGGAGCCGCTGGCGCCTGGCCCCGCGGGGACCACGGGGTGAGGACTGGCTTGGGCCTGCGGCCTTGCGAGGCGAGCCTCCATGAGCGGCAGCCGCGGCTGAGTCGGCACGCGTGGGCGGGCGCAAGAGGCGCCGCCGCGCCGGCGGTGACGGTGGGGTGCGATGCAGCTTCTTCCTCCCTTCTGTTGTGTCCGCCCCCCGTCTTCCTTTTCCATCTGTGCTTCAGGCAGCTCTTCTGCCCTTGTCGCACTCGCAGCGTGAGGGGCATGTTGGGCGTGCGTTCGCGCCGCTGCCTCTGCTGCCTTCTTGATTTCTTTGAAATCTTGCGCTTCGCGCGTCTGGCGCTCCGCGCCCCCCTCCCTGCGGCGGCCCTCTCGGGCCCCCAGGGCTGGCCCTTGAGGCCCTGGGGCCAAGGCGCTCCGTGGGCCTCGGGCTTCTTTCAGCCTTCATAGGCCCCGCACG